TGTGGAGCTTAGACATTGCTTGAATTGTCATGACAACTTGAAAACATATGAAAGCTTGTCTATGGTTTCCACTATGTTATATGAAAACGCACGCAGATATGAAGAACATAAGAAAAATGGGGAGGCAGAGTGCTGACAGATGGCATTCGAATGTGCACAACGCCTATCTGCTCTCTCGGGAGGAGGGAGGACGAGACGGGAAGAATCAAAAAGGAAAGAAATAATGAGTAAATAAAGAAACGATCATAATTACGAATAAAAATAAACATTAAACATAAAACGAACGTCCGCGACGGGGGGCCGTGCCTGAGGATGAATACTGTGGGGTAGAAAAGACGGATGACAAGCAGACGAGGATGCATGCCCGCATGTCGTGAGTGTTCTCTACCTCGCGGTGTACAGCGATCATGAATCACCAACTGGGCCAAACATTCACTAAGGTTGAAGCCCTTCATTTGAGAACACATAACAATAGCTGCCAAAAAAAAATTAAGGTGGCTTCACACCACGAGCGCCTATAGCCTGAAAGGAGTTTGGAGCTGGGCAACCCTTTTCGTTTCTCTTTGTTTTTTGTCCACTCTCTTTTTTCTCGTTTTCTGTTTTTTTCTATTTTTATTTCATTTTATGTGTTGCCTTTTCTTGGTTTTCTATTTTTTCTCTTCTCATCGCTTCTTCTCCACTTATATAATTCATGATTGTTTTCTTTATTTCTTTTTATACACGCTTAATTGCACATCGCCAAGTGTCTTGCTGACTTTGGTAAGTGATCGTCATCAAGTCACTGGCAAAACAACTGCCAGACTACTTCTTGGCGTAAGCGCGCGCTCACTTATCATCAAGGCACTCGAAGAAGGGACTTTCAGACGCTAGCGCACATTCGCTATGCTTCACATCGTGCTCCATGCCGAGTAACAACGACAGCATACTACAGCGCACGATAACATACAACAGTATGGCTCCGTAAAGTGTCGTGTACTTCAAAACAAGCTTATAGCGTGTTAAAAAATCAAACGCTTGCCCGAGAGCGAATCCAGTGTTTACGCAAAGCGTCTGCTATTACCCTCCGCAGTTTATTACTAAGACTATCAGTATTTCAGACTATCAAAATCAGACTACCAAAGGAGTATTTTGAGAATAAACAATCAAGGCCATCTGCACAGAAAGAAAACTCAAAGTGGTACAAAAACAAAAAAAAAATCTAAACGGACTTTCTTTGGAAGTAGAAAAGGGCACATGCCATATGGTACAACGCGAATTCCTTTCGCAAAGTGAAAGTAGCAGTATACGAAGAAAAGAATCCCGCGCGGGTGTTTTCCAAGATCGTGCCGAGACACACACACACAAAAAAACAATGTTGTTCAAAGTTCGAAGCCGTGCTGGTGCGAAAGATATCCGCTCCCCGAGGACAAGTAACCATAAGTTGGTCTAGGTATCACCTCGTAGCTCTCTCTCTCTCTCTTTGGATATGGCGTATTGGTTTTCACTGCGCGCTCAACGCAGCAGTAAAAGCGCCTGGACAACAGCGAAGAGGTTCTTTTGTTATTTTAATTAAAACGAGCGAATGCTTTTTATGCTGTTGTTGTTATGAACTCGCGTGCTCTTGCTTTGGAAATGTCGTAGTAGAAAATGGAAGCGGTGTCGCACACCTTAAGCAAGTTGCAGAGGAGTGCTAAACTGTTAGAAACCGTTGACCAAGCAAAGTTTTCAATGCAGAAACATTCTACGGCTGCATCTGAACAAGATAGGTGGTTCTAGATTTAAGAGATGTTTTGTAGCAAGAAGCGCATAGTCAGCTTCGCAAATTATTTTTTATTAAAAAATTGGCAGATTCCACGTACCTTCGGAATTGACGCTATGCGAGGAATGTTGGAGATAAATTGACTATGCCGTAATTTTTTTTATTGAACGACACTTCATGAAAGGACGCTTAATGTATGTATAAATGTTGCACACACAGACATATGTGGAAAAGTTTGTAGGTGTTTATATAACCAGTTGTTTGAACTTGCATAACAATGCCAACAGGACAATAAGTACTAGCACCACCAGAAGCGATAAGCAGATAAGAAGCGCTTTTGTTCACGAGGATGGTATCCATAGACACCGATACATAAATCAACTTCAGTGCATCACCTAACTTCAAATTACAATAACCAGACGGGACGGCTCTATCAAATGAATACATGTCTAAGCTTTATAAAATCAGATAGCCAGCACTGCTACCTCAATTGACGTTTCAAAAACTTTAGGGTTCATTTGAAAAGTTGTTCTCGGACCTGGCATGACTCAGTGGTAGAATGCTTGATGTCGACGCCGAATGATAGGGTTGGATTTATGCTGGGTCCCTGACATTTACCCCCTTATTCACAAACGCTCCTCGACTCGACTTCCATCCTTCACTTGACAGAGTTGGGCACGGCGCCACCGCTCGGCTGAAAATGACGCTGTGCTACTCAAGAATCGCAGCAGATTATCGCTGATATGCAGTGACTTGCCGTGCCTGGAGACGGCGCTTCCATCGGCTTTCTCAAGTGAAGGTGATTGATTGATATGTGGGATTTAACGTCCCAAAACCACTCTATGATTATGAGAGACGCCGTAGTGGAGGGCTCCGGAAATTTAGACCACCTGGGGGTTTCTCAATTGAAGGTGAAGCGTTGAGTGAAGGGACGTTCTAGAATACGGGGGTTGTTCTTTGCATTTGTCGGATGAACGCTGCCGATGTCAGGTTTTTCTTAACGCTAACGCGTTAAAATTGTCCAAGTGTGTTCTCGTCGTTTCTGGTTAGATAGTTTCAATGACCTGTGGCCTATACCCGCCCGTCATGTGTTACTGTCCAGCGGGAAGTGTTTGACGACGTACGTGACGGGATTGTGACATTATTCGTGTATTGATCAGGGCGTCATATTCGCAAAACCATTTTACCCTCCTATACTAATTTTGTTTCACACTAAGTTAAGGGAGTGATCACAAGAGCCCCCAGACACAACCAGCGGCACATGCACAGATAGACTCAAAAGGTTCCTGCAGTACGCGAAGAAATGGATTTAATAAATAAATATGAGAGGTTAGTGAGAAACGTTGTGCCGGCAATTCTTTTTCCCTCGCAATATGTAACCGTCGGTAACTCAAAAACAAGCACAAAATTATAGGAAGCCTACAAAAGAACACTCCCGCACATGGAGCCAGTTCCTTGATACAACAAAGAATGATTTACTCTACAGAAACGTTTACAAAATACAACTACAGGTATTTACACAAATTAAATGTCCATACAAATTAGAAGTTCGCTAAGATGTCAAAAGTTTATAAATTTCTTTTGTATAATGTAACAAACTCTCAGCGTTTTTTTTAATTCATAATTTAAACTAATAGCCACACTTCCATTTCTGTAATTTCGGGAAATGAGTGATGCAGGGAGTATATATAAGTTTTATCTCCCGTGGGCTTTGATTAGTGGTGGAGGAGGAATGTCAAAGTAAGAGCTTTACCAAACGCTCATTTTCATATGTACACGTGAAAAAGTTTTTATCCCAGCCAGGAGAAATGGTCAGCGGCTATCATATGGTTAGGCAGACGGGTATTGCAAGCATTCTGTTACAAAATATCGTACAAGGTAGAATGGCTGAAGTAAAGAATAAACATACCGTAAATCAAAACAATCACCGCTGATTATCGTTACGCTAATATTGTTGCAAGAGCCCAGTTCGCATAGCCAGATAAAAGAAATAAAGTTTACTTTGCTATAGCAAGGATATGCAAAGGAATCAATCTTCGTGTCTTCGGAGGAAGCAACATCGCATTGAACTTGAAATCCGTTTTTGTAGTTCAATGATCATTTATATGCATGCTTAACAGATAAGGTCGGCAAAGTGCTGGGCCACATTTCTTGACATTTGTTTCTTCGTTGACATTTGCCTCTTGTTGACATTTGCCATGTAGTAGTCCCTCAGCAGACTTGCATTGGAACCAGCTTCACCGTCAGTTAAATTTGTTACATTGTAATGCGCATTCACAATAACAGCAATCACCTCGAAAAATAACCAAACAATTTTTTTTTTCACCCTGATCACGTTTGATCAGCCACATCGATTACTGATTATAGGAGGACATACTCTGACTGAATGCCCGTTACATAATTTCCTGCAACGTCTCTGTTACAACAGCACCTAATATGACCTTCACGTCGGAAGCTCCATTACCGAGAATGGTTCCGCGTCTGTGCGTTTGTTAGTGCGCGTGTGCGATGAGTCATGCCCTTTTGCTTGCGTGCCTCCTGTAGAGCGGCTGAAAGACGCTGTCAGGGTTAAGTGGTTTTGCGTGTTGCCGCTCGACACCCTATGGAGCGCGAAAAAACAGTGTTCTCTGTCGCGTGACACAGTGTCTGATGTAGGAATGTAGGAACAATGGCACGCAGAAAGCCCCTCCAGACGTTTTATTACTTGCTTAGGGGAGCCTATCGATCCCTCCCGTGATATCTGGAATGCATCGATCTTCATGGCACCCTGAACGATGCATTTCAATTATCCTATGTGCTTGAAAGGCTACTGTGGCACTTCCATGTCGCAAAAAAGTTTTGCTGTGAAGGCTCGATTGTTCTCGTCACAGCTGTATAAAAATGTCATTGTCATGTCCAAGACGTTCGACGTTACGGATGCTTGTGTTCCTTTACATTTCTGCTCCTGAAACTACTATGCGTGCTTGCAAATCAAACTTTCTCATGGCCATGAATACAGTTCTTAATTGATTTTTCCTTCATTGAAGATTGTGTTCATTGTCAACCGAAGATATAATACAATCACACATTGTAAATATCCCATCAATGCAATACGCGAATGCATGGATTAACACTACTATGTGTTTGGTCTCACTACCTTTCAATAACGAGGGAGACCATGATACGGTTTTGAAGAGATAAGTATTATGTCTAATGCAACCGTAGCGGTACGTTGTAGCAACAAAACGAAAAGAGCTCTATCGAGGGAAACTTGAGCACATACATTTCATGTGATTAGGATCACCTCTGATGGCCACTTCTCGTGTCGTTTTTGTTGGAAGCACATTAAGGACCTCTTTCATCTGCAATGGAAGGAAAACGCCAAGATCATTTTAACAAAGGCTCTATAGGCTCCATTCTAGACCTATTGTGATGGTTTTGGCACATTGAAATTATTTTTGAGACGATGTATAAAAGGACCAGCAACGTATTCTGAAAGCTTTTAATCTGTGTGCTGATGTTATCATGTTATAAATATTTTTAATCGTGTCATTGATATTACTGTTTGGGCATACCAAGCATGGCATCGTATGAGAATGATTATTGTCCTAATCATACGCGTTCACCCTTATTGTCTTTTTGTGGGAGATTATATTTTATTTTATTTATACTGTTACTTATATGTGATGTAAAGTAAAATGAGCCCCTCGAACAACACCCTTAAAGAATAAGTTTTCTTTCATGAACATCCCGAATTGACATGACGTTCCTAAATATACTCACGGCGTTAATTTTACTTGCGATGTGACGTTGTGACATCGGGCATTGTTAAGATAATAATAATTCCATGTCGAAAAAAGTAACTACAAAATTATTTTATTCGTGCTCTTGGAATATCTGAAGAAATGGAAGGTGTTTCTGAATTAGGGTGCTCACTGAAGCACTCTCAGCATCAGATAATGCTTTTTTTGTTTGCATATAACAAACAGGCATAATAACAAACATTGAAGAGCACATCCTAACTATCTACTAACCATTTATCAAATAAGATCTTTTCAAATTGTGTAAGCTTCGAAATACATTCGCCTTTTCTGATAAAAAAACATCATAGGATGTCATTCTCATTGCCCCACAAAACGCTATGGTGTCCCATTTTTTCAAATTATTTTCGGCAAAATGTGAAAGCGACACGGCAAAGGAGGTTCATATTCAAAGAAACACTCAAGCAAAGCTATGTGTTCGTTCAATGGTTTCTTTCATGCTGTGCGCGTCAGGTTCATTGTCATTCTCTGCTTGTCCTGATTCGACGTAAGAGGGCCACATTGTTTTGTTATTGAAACACGCTCTTGCATCATTTTATTTTATTTTCCTGCTCTGTCGCACGCATATGGCACGTAAGCACGCGTCTTGGACATTTGATGAGGAGTACGACGCTCGGTTTACTGGTCACGCTTAAACATGACCTGGCACAAAACTTAAATAACTTAAGAGAGCGAAACGTTGGATAACTTGGTGGTCCGTTATACAAAAAAAAAAGCACGACAAAGGACAAGAAATAGCAAGGACACAGGCGAGTGCTGAACTTACAACTGAATGTTATTTTGAAAATAGAGCAGAATATAAAAAAAGATGCGAACAAAAGATTGCGAAAGTATATTTGCCAAAAATCAAAAAGCGGAATCACCTTATACGTCACTTACGGCGGTCATGCACGCCAAAGAAACAGTGCACTTCTTTTTCGGTCAAAGCGATAGATGGGATGCTCACGCAGCTATTGCCGATTTTACCAATTTATGCTGCCTCAAATATCTCGCGCGTTAGTTGGGGACTACATGGCCCCACCTTTCGAATAGGGGTTCGCATCCAGGAGTGCCACACGTGCTGCACTGAAGGGCTAAGTGCCAACTGTTTATTTGTCGAATATTGTTACTCTGATTGCGCAACATGTCATTCACGCACCGGCCGGTCTGCCCGATATACTGCTTGAGGCATGTCAGCGGGATGCCGTAGACATCCTCTACACATTCTGTGTCGTGATTTAGGTGCTTCACCTGGCAACTCGGCTCCTTCTATCCGGAACAACTTCTGAGAAGCAGTGAATGACACGTGAACATTGAAGCGTTTTGCCGCCCTTTTCAATCCGCGGGAAACACCATGGATATAGGGCACCACGACCGTCTCTATTGTCTTGCATTCAGAAGTGTCACCTACGTGCTCAATCAGGCTGCAGTGAGGCTTATTACTTTTCAGTGTAGCCTCAGACACTGTTAACACCAATGGTCATAAATAACCCGCTTTTTCCATCTGGACAACCTGCTGCGCGAATCATCAAAAAACTGCATGCACGCATGAACTCTCGAGAGCATTCTTCACGAACATTTTAACAATACACGTTTTCACTAAATATATGACATTTTGTAGAGGTTGGTAGTTCTACCACTTATTTCTACATTTATGGTATTTGACCCATTTAGACATGTTTTTCTACAAGAAAATCCACAATAAATGACCTAAAACTCTAGAAAGACCGATCTATCAAGGAAACGTTCATGTCACAGGAATTGAAGAGAACAGATCGCTAATCACCGGCGAGTGTATTTGAGAGCCGATTTGTTAATTTACGCTCTATGTCACATATAGGACAAAAATAGTTAGTTGTATGTGGCTGATTGGCTTCTACATTTGAGAAGAGCTGCTGTCTCTACCTTGAAAGCACAGTCTAGCTATCTGCATCATTCAATGACTTTACGTCTGAGCCTGGACTGTATGATTTATCTCTCGCTCTCACTTTCAAAGTGCCGTGGCTAGAATACATTCCCTTGTTTGTGGATATGACGCGTATCGATCTTCCCTCAGAAACTGGAACGCTTTGAGGCCGTCAAAATAAGAAATGCTGACTTGGTGTTCATGTTCCAAAACGTCACATGCAGTTTAGACCGTCAGCCTGGCTTGTATATGCAATATACGTTATATAAAATAAACAAACTGAAGAAATCAAAAGAATATGCCGATGACGCAAGTAGCAGTATTCTTTGAAAAAACCTGCTAAAAACTAACCCAATAGTTTGGAATTGTACTTCTCGGCGTCATGTGAAGAGGCGAAAATAATATGATATGAGAGAGGCGGGCTGGTAAATTGTAATGGTAGGATGCGGTTCGCTACCCTCTCTAATCTCTAATTCATGCTCATATATAAAAGTGGCACAATAGGAATGCAAGGAACAAAATAAGCAATTACCTATAGTCCAGTCTCTCACGAAGGTTTTTCGCGTGTTATCGCTACCATAGGTATTGCACTGCGTGACAACAGGGCTGATAACACCACCAACGTGACGTGTGGCGTTTATCTCAATATAACAAGATTTTGTCGCAGGTACCAATCTTTCGATTCGCTGCATGGCGTTGGTGGAACTATTGTGGAACTCCCAATAATAAAAATACTTAAAAATGATGAGCAGCGTCGGTCAGATAGTGATGTAGCATTTTCAAAAGTTCTTTAGCAGGTGAGCGCAGTGATTTTGTGTATGCAGCACTGTGACGTGCATGTCGTGAGCAGATTTCAGCAACGTATTGTATACTATAGCCAGCCTTAAGATTACAATTTTCTGTTCCTTCAAACACTGTATTGACTGAACTATGCCAGACGTCCACGAAGGTGCATATAGCATCAACATATCTTTGCAATAAGTCATCTGTGATTTATTGAAGCACACAACAATTTCATACGTCCTAGCTGCCCTTTAGAAAAAAAAACAATGCATATAGGTGTTGATATCGTATTTAATAAGGCTGGAGACTTACTCCCATATTCACAAACGCTCCTCGACTTGACTTCTACCCTTCAATTGAGAGAGTTAAGTCCTGCGACACCGTTCGACTGAAAATGACGCTGCGCTACTCAAGAATCGCAGCAGATTATCGCCGATATGCAGTGACTTGCCGTGCCTAGAGACGGCGCTCTCATCGGCTCTCTCAAGTGAAGGTGAAGCGTTGAGGAATTGATTTATTTGATTGATATGTGGAGTTTAACGTCCCAAAACCACTATATGATTATGAGAGACGGCGTAGTGGAGGGCTTTGGAAATTTCGACCACCTGGGGTTCATTAACGTGCACCTAAATCTGAGCACACGGGCTTACAACATTTCCACTTCCATCGGAAATGCAGCCGCCGAGCCGAGATTCAATTCCGCGACCTACGGGTCAGCAGCCGAGTGCCTTAGCCACTAGACCACCGCGGCGGGGCGATGAAGCGTTGAGTGAAGGGACGTTCTAGAATACGGGGGTTAGCGGTTGTTACCCCAAAACCTTATAAAAGATACGCGAGTGGTTTTCAAAACAAGAGGGCCAGTCTCTTACACATAAAAAAGAGAGTGATGGCGGCTGCCTTCCAAGGTGAACGCTTTTCTCTTGCAGCTAATAATGTCAACAAAACCTCAAATCACATTTTTTTCGCCCGCCCTTCTTGTAAGGCTTGTTCAATCGAAAGTAATTTCAAGTTAGAAGGCAAATTAAATCAGTTCACTACACATCAGCACACAAACAACGACATAGAGCTTCACACTGTCACACGTATAAACACATGTGCATCATATTTATTACAACAAACAAACAAACGCATACAACTGAAGCAAAAGTCTGAACTTCTTGTTTGCAAATAATGATTGAGACATCGAGAGAGGGATCGATTGAGGTGATCCTGAGCAATAAAAAAAGACTTCATGTTTTCAAGACGTTGAGAGATTGTGTGCAAAGGAAAGCGGGAAATCTACATCGGCCTTATTTCTGCAAACTTTTGGTTGTGTCGAAGCATCGTTATCTGTCAATGGTAAGAATGAAAGATTCGTTGACAGAACTCCAGAGTATTCAACACCCCCCCCCCCTCCCCCGACGTGAGAATACACCGTTATGAACGGTAGGCTGTTTCAATCGCTGCGCTTGCATTCTCCCAAAGAATCGCACCGAGAGAGAAGTCCACGCGCACCTACGCAATAACACAGAAGAAGTGAAATGTATTCTAAAGGTGACTCTCGTGACACTGTGCTGTGTTCGTTTGTATAACCTTCCAAGTGATATGACGCGATGCTACCTCGTGAACCGTTTGTTTTGTGAACTTTCTACAAGATGAAGGTATGCGCCTAATGACTAATTATTAGCGAGTTATTATCATGCAACACTATTACTATGCATGCAACACTAGTTCATGCAACACTAGTTCACTATTAAGCTAAAGTGCAACAATTTCAGGCCCATGAAACAGGTATTTGTGATTCATATAACAAGCTGAAATGGAGCAGTACGCTCAAAAGACCAAATATAAACTACTGAGATTTACCTTCAAAATTTACAATCGCAAAGGCGCAGA